TACTAGGGATAGTAATTGTTTTTTTTTTTTACTTTTAAATGCTAAATATATATATATATATATATATATGGACAATGGATATTTGTACACATATCATATATATATATCATAATTGTATATATATATATAAATATATATATATATATATATATATATATATATATATATATATATATATATATACACACACACACACACACATATACATGAAAAATATTTGTGTGCTAACCCACTGCTAATTCTTTCCAGTAGCATATAGAATAGACCAATGAATTCGATGTTAAAAGATGTGAATTCTAATCCTACTCCTGCCACTAACTAGATAATAGATCTGGACAAATCATTGTCTTCATTAGGCATTGGGTTCATCAATCCATTGAAAGAAGTAACTGTATGGGAATTATTTGTACAATATGTTCTGTATACATGGTATGTGCTGCTGGGTTACCCTTGTCAGAGAAAACTAGATTTTTTAAGTCCATATAAATATTTTCTTCATGGGAAACAGTAATTGATTGTCGAGTCTCAGTTATAAATAAAACTTTTCTCTGTACACATGCATGTTCTGTCTCACTAGCCATTTTAATAAGCATTTAAATCAGCAGTCATAAGTTTTTGCCTAGACTGCAGCCCATCTGTTATAAACAATAAAAGCCAACTGAAATATGTGCTAATGATTTTACCCTAAGTCCTGTAGGAGCATTCTCCTTACCCCATTTACCCCATTCCACACTATTTCCCTGAAGGCAGAGAGATATAGCAGTCATGCTACAAGTTTGATGATGGTGGAATGCACTCTTTGTTTTGAGAGTGTGCAAATTCCCCTCAGGGAGAATCACATGTTTATTAATGTGTCACAAGATGCTTGCTTCTTGTTAGCTCTTCTCAATAAATAGGACTATAGTGTTGGTCGAATGTTACTTTATTTTTAGATATTTAAATCACTTTCTGATGAACAGAAACAGTAAACAAGTATTAAAATATTGAAAGCAATTTGAAAATAGTGCTATTTTGGGGAGTATGGAATTCCAAACATTACCAGACAGTGGTAAACAGTCATCTCACTGGGCTAAGGAACAAAAGTAAAAAAATGAGAATATCTAAGAGTGCTCATCTGGTATGACTTTCTGATGATTAGGAGTTACTTCCATGTATAAAAGAGAAAGAGGCAATGGCTGGCTTGGGGAGTCCACGTGTTTCTTCAACTTCAGTCATTCTTGTCCAATCCACTCAGATATCCCAAATGAAAAGTATTAGAGCTTTTCTGTTTTGCTATACTTCATACTAATTATACACTAAAAAAGCTGAAGACATCACATAATGATATTTTCTGATATACCTCCTGAACAAAACACTGTGTTGTTATACTGCAGAATGGAAATAAAAAGAAAGTGGATATAAAGAATTCAGTTCTGATAGTAAGATCTCACACTTACTGAGTGCTCACTATACGACAGGCACTGTTCTAATCTAATATTTTACAAGTTCTAACATGTTTGATTTCCACAGTAGCCTATGGTGTCTTTAGCATTATTTTCTAGTTATAGAGATGAGGAAAAGGAAGCCTAAGGATCCAAGAAACATTCCCTAGTTTTCAAGAATAATCAGTGATTGAGCTGGAATCTGAATCACTTCAGTTGGGCTTTGTCATTGTTGTTCCTAATTCATCCCTACCTATGTAAAAACATGCCTGGTATTTGATACAAGGAGGTATTATACAATAGACAAACTAAGCAGTCATTTGAGGAGAGAGAAACCCTAAGATTTATGTGAAAGGTTCCACATTAGAATATATTTATTTACACATTCATAAGTGTCTTAGAGTCAATAACTTAACTTAAATAATTATTATTTCTGAAAAAGTATAAGCTTACAATGAGCTTGGAAAGAGTATTCTCTAGTTTGTATTGGAATAAAATTAATAAATAATGCATGGGTAATATTGGCTGCAACCCCAGAAGGGATATGTTTTTCAATTGAGTGTGAAGCTCAAACTCAAATTTAGCACACTTTCTTTCCTCTTAAAGCTGTTTCTTTTTCAGTATTTTCCATGTTGAAAGATTGACTCTACCTTTCATATACTTAATTGAAAAGAAGTATCCATCTTGCATGCCTTTCTGTTTCCTCTCAGTTGTATTGATTTAACATCTTAAATATATTTTGAACATGACCCTTCTTACCCCAATACAAATTACCTTTTTTGAGGGTTGTCATTTTTTTCCTAAATGAGTTTATTGCTTTCCAATTGGCCTTACTGCATTTAGTCTTCCTTCCAATTCAATCTATTTTTTCTCATTATTTGTAAATAGTTTTCAATATCCATATTTCATCATTTCCAAATATAAAGTCCAAACTCTTTGAAGCAGCTTACATGATTTTCAGTCTTGCTCTTGTGCACTCTTCCAGTCTCAGGTCTTTTGTAACTACTTTATATTCCAGCCATATCACGTTATTTGCAATTCCTTAAACATATCCAGTTGTTCTATACCTTCCAGCATCTAAATATAATATTGCCTGAAATGGCCCTTCTCAAAATTGCTAAATTCTTACTCATTGTTTAAGACAATACAAGTATCACCATTTATGAAGTTTTATTGTTTGTTTCCTTGAAACAACTTTGGTAGTATATATGTTTTGTAGTATATATCACATCAAATTTTTCAATTGTTTTTTTCTTTTTTTAAGAGAGAGAGAGAGAGAGAGAGAGAGAGAGAGAGAGGGAGAGAGAGAGAATTTTTAATATTAATTATTTTTTTTTTAGTTTTTGGCAGACACAATATCTTTGTTTTGTATGTGGTGCTGAGGATCGAACCCGGGCTGCATGCATGCCCGGCAAGCGCCCTACCACTTGAGCCACATCCCCAGCCCCTAAATTGTTTTCTTATATATATTTTTTCTTGAATTTTGAAAGGTTGAGGATAGGAAACATCTTCTCATTCTTGAAAAGCCCCTAAACTCTCAGGACTCTTTTTGGACTTCTGAATGATATTCTTTAATGGTTAATTGTTTTACCTCTTAAATACTTGAGATCTACTTGTAGGCCAGAAAGTATAGAAAGATGGAGATGTGTACATTCAAAAAGAATCGTCTAATTTTTCTAAATATTCTTTGTTAACTCTAACACTAAATAACTAATTTATTTTCTGGTCATTCTCATATTTATTTAGCATTATTAGCATTTAAGCAAAGCAAGGATCTAAATCAAGGAGCTGCTTAAATATCAGAGAATCTTGACTTCATAAGGAAGAGGTCCATTTACACAGATGTGGAGGAAAAAGGAACCACCATCACTGAGTACCTATGACAGGATTTACAGGGTTCTGTTAATACCCTGTGTAATACTCAAATAAGTACTGTCCTTCACCCCACCCCAGGCTCAGAGGAGTTAAATAAATTGCCCACTTTTCCAGAGATAATAAGCAACAAACAAAACTCAAATAACAGAAATTTGATGGCCAATTACATAAATTAGCAGTTGGACTCTTACCAAATGAAAAGCTCTCTACCAAACATTATACCTGATGTTTATTTATTTCCATTGTCCAGCATCATGCATAAAACATTATCAGTGTTCATTGAATGGCCACAGACTTACATAGCAAGCATAAGTACTGCAATTTACACATAAATTTCACTCATTAACTCCTAATTCTTCAAAAAAATTATTTCTATTCTCACTTATCCAAGTTATAATCTTGACTTTGGAGCCAGGAAAGAAAAAAAATGAGGTCCTGAATTAATGACCCAATTGTGTAGAATATGTCTATGAGCAAAGAGTTGTTCTTACAATACTTTAGAATGCTTCTCTCTGACAACCTGAACTCCAAGTCTCAAGCCAAATGGGGAAAGATTATGATTTCACAATACTATTTTTTTGGGGGGGCACTAAAGCACTGAGCCCTATCCCCAGCCCTATTTTGTATTTTATTTAGAGACAGAGTCTCACTGAGTCACTTAGCACCTCGCTTTTGCTGAGGCTGGCTTTGAACTCAAAATCCTCCTGCCTCAGCCTCTGGAGCTGCTGGGATTACAGTTGTGGGCTACCAATCCTGGCCCTTACTTTTTGTTTTGGGAAGTATACTAGGGATTGAACTGAGGGTGCTCTACCAAGGACCTACATCTCAAACACATTTTCTTTTTATTTTGATGCTGGGGATTGAACCCAGGGCCTTGGGCATGCCAAACAAGCACTCCACCACTTAGCCACATTCCCCAGATCTAAAACACATTTTAATTTTTATTTTGAGGTGGGGTCTCACCAAGTTGCTCAGGATAGCCTCCAACTTGCAATCCTCTTACCTCAGCCTCCTGAGTACCTGACATTACAGATGTGCACCACCATGCCTGGTTAATATTTTAGAATATTTTCTGCCCAGACTCAATAACATTTCTTACTAGTAAGACAACCAGTAATGCAAGTCTTGAGCAGCATTAATCCTGCCCTTTCATTGTACTTAATAGGTCTGTTTTCAGTGCTGGGGTTGTGGCTCAGTGGTACAGCACTCACCTAGCATATGTGAGGCCCTGGGTTAGAGCCTCAGCACCACAAAAAAATAAATAAATAAAATAAAATTATTGTGCCCAACTACAACTAAAAAATAAATATAAAAAAAATAGGTCTGTTTTCTACTTCTCTGTTGAGTTTGCCAATTTTAGCATAACCCAAAGCTTGACTTTCTTCCTGAACTAAATCTTCCTTTATTCCTTTTATTTTCTAGAAAAAAATCTCCATTAAACACTTTTCATACTGAACCTGGATATAAAACAAAACTTTTTTTTTTTCCCTAGCAAATATAAAATATACAGTTAGCATTAGAGGACCAATTGTTGTTTAGTTACATGACAAGAGGGAACCCTGAAGAATATGCCAAGAAAAAATAAAAATGAGTTAAACAATGGACTTTCTCCTTTTTTTTTTCCTGAGTGATTTAAACACTCTGTGTTGGCAGCACTTGATTTTTGTTCACAGCGGGTCACCATATTTATTCTGTTTGTTACAGAAACTCCACTTACTGTATGAAAGTATCCATCTCACTGACAGTGGGTGAAAATGACACTGGACTCTGCTACAATTCCAAAATGAAATACTTTGAAAAAGCTGAACTTAGCAAAAGCAAGGAAATCTCATGCCGTGACATAGAGGATTTTTTGCTACCAACCAGAGAACCTGAAATCCTTTGGTATAAGGTATGGATTGTGAATGAATTTATTGCCTATAAACAATTTCATGTGTATCTTATTCTGGGTAAAATTGATAAAAATTAAGTAGGCATTATGATATAGTTCAGTTCTGTTTTCCTAGAATGCTACAGCAATTTGTGTTGGTCATTTTAAAACTGTGACTTTAATAAATAGCATATTGGTTAACATTTGTATTGGTATTCTATTATAATAAGTTGCTATTTTTATATCTTATTTAGGGACAATTCTTTCAATTCTATTATAGTATATAGGTTGATAATTTCAGGAATTAAAATATGTTGAATATTGATTTAATAGCTCTTCATATTAGCATTATAAAATATCCCCAAACTAGGAGAAAAATAATTGATTTACTTCTGTGATAATATGATATAGTAATTTTAATTGGATTTCCTATTTAATGAATATAACATTGTCCAAATTCTAATCTAATCTAAATGTATATATAAGCCTAAATATTTAAAAGAAATAACATCTGAGAACATTTTGTACCATTATGAAAATAGTATTAAACTTATTTTCTTTAAAAACAAAAAGAAACTTTAAAATTAAAGACAATATAGTCCAATCCCCTTTTTCCATATCACATCAATAATATTCATTGAAACTCCATAATTTATTACACTTTTAAGCTTATGTATGCCATGTAAGAATGTTTTTTGCTTTGGATGTACTAAACAAATAGAATATTGATGTGAACACTTTTATGGAATCTATTATCTGTGTATTAAAGATTCCTCATGTTAAATTTACTTTGTCTAACTTGCTAGAAGTTGGACTTGAGGAAACTGGGCCTCTTAATAACTAGATCCACAAATGTCAGTCTCAGAATAGGAGCCCTCATAACTGATTGCTCATGAATTCAAAATCTGTTAAAAATAAAGCAAGAAAAAAACCCTTGAACAATTTCAAAAGGATTTTGCCAAAATTAGCAATGCTCTTCTCTGAGTAAGATTTAATTTTGATTCTTTATAATGGGCAATGGAGAACTCAGAAGATCAAGGGAACAGTTGAAAATTTTTTCGATTTGTCCCTTTGTTTTCTATTCCTAGAGATGTTAAACAGCACTCAAAATTAGCAACACTGATTTCTGTTCCTTGGGAATGTGTTTTTTTAATTTCTTTTTTTTTTCACTTTTATATTTGAGTATTTCTAATTCTTGATACTTAGAAGTTTTCATGCCTTCAAAAGGCAAATTGTGAACAAGTCCTGATGATTGCTACAAGGGAAGTGGTAGTAGAGAAATTAGACCCAAGTTCTCTCAAACCAAATATTGTTCTAATCCTATGTCTATGTAGTCATTCAGCTGCTAGATACATAACTAATAAATTGATTTTACAAGTTCTATATCTTTCATCACCTTCTGTAAAGAGCATCTCAAATTTTGCCGAAAGATGAGAGGCTATATACACTGACACACATTTGATTTAAAAATAACTGGGTTCATATTGGTGCTTTTGCCGTGTTTCCACCATCACCACAATCATTTTGACCTCAAGCTATAAAGACCATAGTCATTGGTAGAGATACATTTATGTAGAAAATAAAAGTCTTATATTTCAGATTATATTTCCATTATTAGGACTTGACATATGTAGTTTAAATAGCTGAGATTGAAAGATGAATGCTAAAGTAGAATACTATGAAATAATTATTCTGGCTAAATATAGATTTCATAATTCAGCACAGGATTTATGCAGTTTTGACAACTTATATAACTAATGTGAACAATAGAATGTATATTTTGATATAAAATAGCTGGATAACTGCCCCTCACAAGTATACAGAAGCATTGAGCCACATAAAATCATAACATGCAAAAATTTGATCTGGCAATAAAATTTTTTACAAATAGTATTTTCTTTCAATAGCGTCAAAGGTGTTAAGCTTTTTATTTTTTTTTATCCTCATTCCATTGATTTCAAATCTGGCTGGGGGATATGGACTTTTGTTTTGGCAAAAACTGAAATCTCCTGAGCCAATGTCATTATAATCCAAAGCTTAATTCAGAAACCATAATTTGGTAGGTCTATCAAAAAGGAAAATAGATATTTATGAGAGTATAAGACCCTGGCTTAAAATGTTGGCTGTATCTCTAATGGATTATAGAATATACATGCTATGAAGAGATTTTATTTTTACTAAATTAAACATCATTTCAAATATTTGTACATTCCTATATTTAAACTATTTTTATAATTTAAAATTTTCTACTTTTCATTAAATAATATACTTTGTGTTTTCTCTTATTAATATCAGTATGATTAATTTCATAAACATCAAATGTTAAGCATTTGCTTTTTAATTTAAGTTAGGAATAATGAACATATATGTCTTTTCTCATAATTAATAAATAAGTACATATCTAATGTAGAGATGCTAAACTTACTAACATGCCTCTTTCTAAAAATACTGTTTTCAAATTGAGGTACCTGATTTCCCAGAGCTTTAAAAACAGAATGAAATTATTTAACATTAATTTAAAAAACTTTTGTCACTTAAAATTATAAGTTTAGAAATTACCATTACAGTGATTTAAAGAACCTTATTTTTCAATACTACATGTACTACCCAAAGTTTATGTTTTTTATGTAGGAATGTAGGACAAAAATATGGAGGCCAAGTATTGTATTCAAAAGAGATACCTTGCTTATAAGAGAAGTCAGAGAAGATGACATTGGAAATTATACCTGTGAATTAAAATATGGAGGCTTTGTTGTGAGAAGAACTACTGAATTAACTGTTACAGGTAATCACAGTTTTTAGTATTTCATTTGCAAGTAATGAAATTATAATTTTAAGTTAAATTTGGGGCTGCATATTGATTTTTTTTAATCTATGCTATGAAAAAGCACTCAACCAAATGCTAAGTGGATTCCTATAGGTGAAATTTATTCCTACTTGCTTTTAAATCATCTCATGCTGAAATACATTTGAAAGGTTAAAGAGAATGTGTTTAGGGAATTATAGAAATGCTAGCTTTTTAAAGTACTTGAAATAATGAGTTTACAATTTCAGAAAATTATGCTTATATTTTGTAGTGGTATCATTTTGGGAAACATTTTCTAGAGTGATGAAATTGATGTATGAAATCTACCTCTATGTTCTGTTTTATTCCAAATTAGAAAAATCATTTTTCTCTTTTCTTCATTTATCTCTCTATAAATCAGACATATGTGATCTTATGAACTAGAGGTTGTAGGTGTAGTCACCAAATAATTATGTAAGAAGCATTACCTAGCATTGTTCCTGTATCTGGTTGTTAAAGTGGGAAGACGTAAGAACAATTTTAAGAACACTGCCTATAGTCATGAATCTACAACTCACTTGTCTCGTGATCCTGGTTGAATCACTACAATCTTCAGAATATTAGTTTTAAATGTATAAAATGATATTACATTGGCCTTATTTAGTAGAGGTTTCTGCAAGGATCAAATGATGTAAGTTACTATGTATAAATTAAGTATGTAAACGTAGGATTATATCAAAATGTTCATCATTTTGGTTATGAATACAATTTTATTAATAACTTTGTTCACTTTATTGTAAAACCACTTTCTAAAAACAGTTCCATATGAAAATGCCAGGATGGGGGTGATAGGAGCAATACTGAGTAGAGAAAGACATTATTTGAGAATTCTTATTGAGAGAGATGAGTGATGACTTTTTTAGTATGGTCGTATTTATGAAACACATTTAGAAAATCATAAAAACATTAATTTAAATTAAAGAGACTTTGATTTGTTTATTGATTCACATAAAATAATTTTTATCTATACAAAAATGTTTTGTGATATAGATCTCATAACAATTACTTTCTTTTAAATCACCAAGTTATGATATATTAGCTGAAAACTACTTTGGGTTTCATGGAATTTAATTGATGAATAATAATTATTTTGATAGAAGGAAATTTTAATTAAATAAATAAAGTGCTCTTTGGCAATACTTTTTATAAATATTAGACATAGTAAACAACTTACACTAGTAAAATATGATAGAGTTGAATACTAAAAACAAATTTAATTTCTGATTTGTATTATGTACCTACCATAAACATGTCTATAACTTGCAATCATTTGGTTTTCAGTTTTGTTGTGTTGAATAGTGTCTGTATAAGAAAATTCAAATCAACACTTTTATCATTTTACCTTTATTTTAATGGGCCAGTAGAAAATATGTCTGGCTATACCTTAAATATTGAAGACGTTTTTCTATTCATTATTTTACTCTGTTTATACTGAAGAATTTTTTCCAAGAAGTAGGAATTGAGGCAAACAAATTTTAAAATATTAAGGAACAGATACATTCTGAATAGAAATAATAAGCATTTCTAGTGTTTATTCTTCTGAATGTAGAATTCATCCTTGTTAAGCACACTTTTTTTCCTTTCTAGAAATACTATAACTCTTATTAATCGTTAGCTATATGAGACAAATAGAAAGTGGATATTAGGTCCCAAAAGGTCAAACAATTTACATAAGGCTTAATTGGTAGAACCAAGAACAGAATTCTTCTATGCTAAATGATATTGAGGAGCACTATACTTTCTTAATCTTGGTTCAAAATTTCATATTTTTTTCTCATAAGAAAATAAAGAATATTTAAATCCTGACATTCAAGAGAAAATTAGTAAAAGTTATAAGGAAAGTTTTCTTCAACTTATTCATTCAACTTATTACCATAATTCCATATTAAATAGTATTACTGGTGATACTTTTGGGCAAACAGATTACAAAGTTCATTTTGAGTACATATGAATCTCTTAGTAAATGGAGAACTGCCGCAGTCCGGCTGCAGCAAAATAACCAGGGGGTGACGTGCAACTTGTGTAGATTGATACAGCAGGAGTGGGAGCCGTTTATTGTAGGACAGGAGCAGTATTTATACATTCCACACAGCTTATCTTAATTAGCATAAACTAGATACATCAGTCAACCAATAAGAAATCTCCACACTTAATGGCTCGCTGGCGTTACTTCACAAACCACTCCCTCTGGCATTTTGCCAGGCGCCATCCAGACTTGTTTACAGACTCTAACATTTCTCTGGCAAAATGCCAGGCGCCATCCTGACTTGTTTACAGACCTTAACATTTCCCCATTTTGTTTAATTTAAATAATGGCCATAGTGGTTTTTACACAAACACCATAAATAATCTGCTACAAGCAGAAGGGGAGGATACAAAATGCCACAATACCAAGCCAATTGATGGCTCCATGTAAGAAGCCCTTGGAAAAATTATACCAGCAATGACACCATTAGCAAAGATACTGAGTTACAATTTGTTGTAGATTACACTTTGTCTCAGTCCAGATAAAACAGTGTCTCAATAGATTAACTCACAGTCCAGGTAAATCACAGTCCAGGTAAGTTCTGCAGGCAGCTAGCTTGATCTAAAGTCTCCTCTGTTTCTCAGCTGAAGTTTCATCCAGTTCTCAGCAACACTGGAAATTCTTCCACCTTCGTCTTCACTGGCACTGGGATGAAGGCAGGAACTCTGGATTGCTAAAGAAAATCCTGTAGCATTCCACTAAGAAAACAACCTTCTGAACAATTTAGTACATTATCTCAGGATTTTTACATTTGAGTGCTCATTACTCATTAGCCTCCAGGTGTGGGAGAACCATTGTAGTTACTGGCCTTGGAAATGATCAAACTTCAGGGACGCCATGTGCGTCCTCCGCTCAGCTGCAGCGTTCTCGGGCAGCCCCAGATGGGGAGCGTCCGGACTCAAACTGCCACTGGGCACAGGTGGCAAGAGCCTGCGAGACTGTGCCTCCGGGTCAGGTTTGGATTTGGGCTCTTGCAGTGGCTTTCCGCTCCCCGGGCGGGGGCGGGGAAGAGCTTTGCTGCGCCATGACCAGCTTGCGCACGTGGCAGCCGCTGCACTGATTCACGCACCCTCAGGTAATGAAAAGTATTCAGTAATAGCCTTTTGCTGTCACTTTTTTCCTGATAATCCTTCCTCCTCTGAACTTTCTTCTTTCTGACTAGAGTTCCTGGGCTTCCATCAACACATGCCCTAACTATTCTTGGTTCCACTGGGGTGCCTCCTTCCCTTAGTAATTTACTTAACACCCCTTCCATATTTTCATCACAAAGACAATACAACATTTCAAGATGAAACAAGACACAAACATACTGTATCAATCTTCTCCATTTTCTCAAAATGGCCATTTTTCCTCTCACCCTATCTGCTTAGGGATGAGCAGATTTGCTCCCATCCTATCTAGGGACGGGGCTCCCCGTATGGGCCACCATCGCCATAGAATTAAAATACTATGTATTAAAATGCATTTTAGGAATTAACAAGGACATTGAGAAGATATTTTGTGCATAATATTTATTTATTTATTTATTTTTAAAGAGAGAGTGGGGGAGAGAGAGAGAGAGAGAGAGAAGTTTAATATTTATTTTTTAGTTATCGGTGGACACAACATCTTTGTTTTGTATGTGGTGCTGAGGATCGAACCCAGGCCGCACGCATGCCAGGCGAGCGCGCTACTGCTTGAGCCACATCCCCAGCCCCTATAATATTGATTTAAATGGTGTAATTGTATAGCACATTTACTTTATAACCAAATTATGTAGTAATTCTTAAGATATAAATTGTGTCCTTCAGTAAAGCAACAAAGGTGGAAAGTTCCTGATGAAGAATCAATGTATTTTTATCTTGGTTTTCTGTATATCATTGTCATATCATGTTGTACTTAATATAAATGTTATTCCAAGCATATCATTAAGTTCTAGTGGAATTGCATTAAGCTGATGATAAACAAATATTTTAAAGTTTGTTGGAACATCTCTTTAAAAATAAAAAAAATCTATATGTGGAAAGGAAATTTCTGGCTAAAGAGTCTAAATGTGCAGGTGCAGGAAATATTGTTAGGGATAATGGCTGATTCTTCCCTTATTGAAATTGTATCACATGTAATGGAATGATAAATCTGCCCAGCATTTTGGGTACTTCAAATATTCTTATATTTAAAAATTAAAATTTTCTCAGGGTCATCTCTACCCCCAACTGTCTTTTGTAAGTCTTAACTATACTCAAGTTTTTACTGTTCTCCATATATCCTTCCTGTGAACCATTACTCATAATATTTTTCCATTGGAAGGCTTTTTCTTCCATTTGATCACAGGACTGATGTTTATGCTTTCTTCAAGGCACAGCTAAAATGTTACCTCCTCTTTGAGGCAAGCAGTCCTCACTTTGATGGCACTTTTAGCATCCTACTGTGGTACTTAGCGCATTGTTTTACAGCTATTTGTTCACACACATTCCTGCTTTTCTCTAGGAATGTGAGCATCTTAGAATCAAGAACAATCTCTTTTTTTATTTTTTTCAATTAATTATACAGAACAGCAGAATGCTTTTCAACTCAGTGTACACAAAAGGAACACAACTTCTCATTACTCTGGCTCTACAGGATACAGAGTCACACCATTTATGCAATAATACATGTACATAGGGTAATCATGTCTATTTCACTTCACCATCTTTCCCACCGCCATATCCCCTCCCTTGCCCTCAATCTCCACTGCCCAATCCAAAGTTCCTCCATTCTTCCCTTGCCCCCCAACCCTACTATGGATCCGCATCCATATCTTTTCAAAAAATTTTAAAATAAGCATTTGGTTTTAGAATAGGTTTAGATTTACCAAAAAATTTCAAAGATAGTAGAGATCCCATATACCCATATCCAATTTCTTCTATTTTTAATATCTAACATTAGCATAGCACAT